CAGCGATAGATGCATAAAAATAAGGAGGTAATCTTGAATTTGTGTTCATTACACCAGAGTGCTTCATGAACGGTATGCAAATTTAACAATGCTAAACTGCTTTCTACGTGAATATTTACGTTTCTGTGTGCTATTTGTCGTTCTGTATCTTTTTCAGACATCTATTTCCTATCCAGGGGGTTGAACGGATGTCCGTAATTGACGATCCCGCTGCATTTTTCCACGCCTTGGCGTCCTATGAAAAACGGCTTGAAACTTTCGTTAGCTGGCCATACGCAGGACGAAATAAGTGCACACCGGAGAGACTTGCTCGCGCTGGATTCTTTCATCCGCCAAACACGGGTTCTGACGTGGCCCAGTGCTTTGTTTGCTTCAAGGAACTTGAAGGCTGGGAATCTGATGTAAATGATCACGTTTATAACAGACAGTGATTTCCCAACGGGTTGTCTGTAACTGGTTCAACCTGTACAAATATAGATTTGTACATTAATCCACGCACATTAATCCTAGAAGTCATATGTAATACCAGTAAAAATATACACAGGGAAACAAACACGAATATATGATAAAAAAAAGCTATGGCGTGTGTGTTGGGAGAGCTCAAATAAAGTTCGGTGATGAACTTCTTTTGGGAAATTGTACTATTTCACGCTGGACGAAGTCGCCTTCTTTTAAGACTATTCGGTTATCTATCATGTTCTTTGTAGTAACAAACAGTCCCAGTTTATTGAGGCGGGCACTTAAAATTTTGATTACAAGTTGATTGATTCTCGAGATAGCACTCCTCTTTGACGTGGGCACCACAGCATTAAAAAAAAATCTCAATTGACGTCCAACTCTTTTAAGACCATCGCCTCAGTGTGTTTGCGCGACTGTGTTATCTGTGATGCGTTTTCGTCCATTCATCGGATTCCCGGAGCCTATCAGTATAGTGTCCGAAGCTGTGACACTGTCAACAGATTTGTTTACGTTGGATGTGCATCGCACTGAACTTTCTGGACCGGTTCCGTGTTCTCGCATTTCATGTATTTTATTTTTTGCTTTTTTCCCTGAAGGATCTTGTTTATCAAAGCTGATGATGGTCTTCATACGATGTGATCGGGTAAATTGAAGTCAGTTTGCCCGATTGGATCCCGGCGTACCCATGGATATCATGCTAATATACGATAGGACATGGTATTTATGATACAGTAATTTAGAAGCTGCAAACTCCCTAACCCTGACTCCCAGTTCAACCAACGTCTATTTGGGATTCAATCTGAAGGAATGAATGCGAATCCATCTTTGCTGTGGAAACAGTCTGCTGAATTCTTAGCGAACTTCACTTTTTTACATTACATCTTTATTTCCAGTGCTCAGTTGATTACAATACTGTGGTCTGGACGATATTTGCTGAAGTCCACTCACGGAATATATATGCTGTAAGCTTCATCATAAGGATAAGATATAGATTAGTTTACTTTCGCAACAAATCCCTCAGTATAAAAAAAAACGCTTATTATGGGGACATTTCTGGAATTAGCTAACTTCCGAACGTTTTTCATTCACAGGATGATCCGATGCAAGAGCATGAACATCATTCCCCCCAGTGCCCGTTTCTCAAAAGCAAACCATACGAGGAGATGAGCGTTTCAGAGGGCCTCGAAATGGATATTACCCGACATGCGAATCTGCTCCAAACCCTGCGTGACCGAATACTCCAAGAAGTTCAGGCTGCAGTGGATAAACAACTTCAGGTTATTCGTGACACGCTGTCGAAATACTTTCGTAAACGTGGCGTCCGTCAAAACACACGTGCTGGCACGGTTTCGAGTGCACGATCAGATGAAACGCTTGAACTGTCTGTTCGTAGTACCCGATCAAAACGGAGCACTCGATCCAAGCGATTGTGTATTTGAACTTGCAGAATGCCCTTTGTTGATGAACCCAGTCGGGAGATGTATATTTGTCACTGTGTATAGATTATTGTTTCACTTCTATGTTTGGTTCTTTAGACAGCTTGCATTATCTTCAATAAATAAGCGCGAATTACCTCAACGTTCCTGGATACGGTGAAGAGCAA